CTTTTTGCACCTCGAAATGCAGGGGGCGTGGCTAAAGGAGGTCACGTGCTACATATGAATCATGGTTGCTTCTACAGGTTTGTAACCTACAAAAGAAATATAAAAAAAACAACACAATCCTCCTCAGGTTCACAAAACTTTACTATGATGGCATTCCAAAAGGCACAAAAATATATATGTCACTACATGTAGGGTGCAAACACAATGCTTGTAATGACGGCTTGTAAACTCGTGGCAGCGATGATAATGGAAGGGTAACGATGGGGCTTGGTTTACACGTACAAAGGGATATGACATGGTAACGATACAGTCCGGAAGAACGAGGTTCAACCGGGGGATACATTCAATGTGGAAATCTTTCCACAGATGTCAGGTTAACATTTGTAAAATGAGATAAGAAACGTTAGTACTGCTCTCGCATCGTCACCGAGCTAATAAAGGTAGACATCGAACGCTAATTCTAAGTGTTGCTTAATTCCAGAACGGGGCTTATAGTTTCCCGCACGATTGTATAGATGAATGGTAGTTGTAACGCTGGTGCCATGGAAATAATAATTTGTCAACAAATACCCTGAACCAAATATATTCAGTACACCCATGAAGCCTAGATGACTGCATTTTCAGCAGTTAAAACTCTGTATATTTGTTTAATCTCTTAAAATGAAGTGAGTCTTTGGGATCCGTTTTTATCATATCTTATCAAGATCATTAAAAAAACATTCTGTTAAATATGTTCATTTCAGAGACTAGATGTTAAGGCAAGAAGGCAACTTCATTGTGATGTATTTAGGTCACGTGCAAATTTAGGTCTTCCAGCTGTTAGGTAGCGTTTACTGGATTCCGTAAAACAGCCACACAAGACAATACCCGCCTCGGCCTAAGCCTACTTGTAGCTGCGGGGATGGCCTCAAGCTCAGCCACAACCTAAGGAAGTCGGATGTTTTCAAGAGGGACACTACAACAGTTCAACTAATCAGCTTTCTGTCATTATCTCAGAGGGGATAATGAACATGGCTGTTAACGAGCCTGGGTAGGACCAGTGTCATTGGAGCGGGTCCAGTAAGCCCTCAAGATGGCAGTGATTGCATGCAAGTCGCAACCTGTCCATCAAATGGCTTCATAATTTTTTTACTCGATAAATTCATAACGCTCTGTTGATTTTCAGATGAACAAAGGCTCGGCGATGCACGCGCATATCTCATGGTTTATACCGATTGTGCTGTTTAACATATCTGTTCACACTTAACAGGAATAAGGTCATGAAAATAAATACTCTTATGAGATATTAATGATGATCAGATTATGAGGCGACCAAGCACTCCCTCCTGTCCCATCTGAAGGCCCGTGCGACGACACAAGATATGCAGACAATAATCATACTTTCTTATGATTTCTTGGGGGTTTTTTTCCCGATTGTAACACTGGGGCACCCTAAAAATATTGCCATAAGACATTTGGGTAATTGACCTCTGAACCCAGCCTCTTGATCTGGTCATAGCGGAGATAGGGTTAATGCCCGTCTAATGTAAGACAATAGGGACTGGAGAGTTTTCTCTGCCGCCTGGTCAGCGGTCAGTGCTCGCTGTCACATCTGACAGGTGGACAGATGGGTGGGTGGGGTGACGTGTGGGGTGAAGTGTGGGGTAATGCCCTGCTATTAAACAACGACGGCATGAGGAACTGGGGCTTATGGACAACGGTGCTTTCTCCAGCAGCTTACATGACAGATGGACACTGCTTACATGGCTGTACAAGTTGTCCCTCGTCACGCTGTCATGTGCGCTGTGACACTTCCTGGTTGTCTGACGTGACAAGCACACAGACAACAGGTCTCGTCACACATCGGCATTTGCGTTGGTATAATAGAGATTCCTCTGATCTCTGCCAGAGTTGTGACTTGCTATGCTTTTAAATGTCCATTGTCTAATGTCTATCCCATTTCACCCGATGCAGGAAATTGAAAAAAAATATATTGAAATGACGTTTCTAAACCTTTAGCAGTGTTAACCATAGTTTCTGATCCGCAAAGCTGGCTGTCCAAAGTGCGCAATTGTATGCAAAACGGGAATATGACAAAGCCCTGACTTAGGAGCAGAGCGTGCCCCGGGCTAACTGCCTCCAGTCACCTGTGACGTGATGGGTGCATTCGTCACCACTCGCATGTTTCCGTAACCTACAAGGCTCGTTCCCCTCTTGAAGGCCGCAATGCGCCCAAACGGCGCAAGCTAATCAGAAAGCGCTTCAGGATATGGGTGCTTCGATCAATATAATCCCGAGTATTTGAACAATTTTGGGAATACGCTTTTGTTTATAAAATGTAGCTTTCGGTTCCACACAGGAGTTTATATGGTGACAGAATTGTGTTATATTAATTGATGCTGTTACTTATAGGGCCATGTTGGTTGATAGATTCCAGTGCACACGTGCGTTTGTTTACATTGAGTTAACGGCTCCCTTGACTGTGACATTCTTTCATTTGAGACATCACTTGGCTTTCCAAAACTACATTCAGTGTAATATCCATTTTGATGGTATACAATGAGATTAACAATGTACCAAAGTGATTAACTTATCGCCTGTTTTAAAACAAATTATTTAATTACCTGTTACATATAGGTATATATTTTTCTTTTTTTTCTTTATATATATTTTATTTTCTATATTGTGGTTTATATATGCAAAGATCATTGTTGACGTAACAGACAGATTGACGTAATGCTAATGACGTCACAGCGTATCATTGTTGACGTCGTTCTTTTATAAACATTTATTCCCATATATATGCACAGTTGTACATTATATGGATTAGAAAACAGGCAGCGCCTGACTAAATGCCTCTTCTCGTGCTAGACCTGTCAGAATAGTGGCACGATTTTCAACACACACACAACGTGTTCACGACAGGTGCAGTATAAAGTATGGACAATAAGACCGCCTCCGTGGTGTAACTGATGGAGCATCTGCCCGGAGAGCGGAAGGACGGTGGTTTGATCTCGCGTCATACCCTGCCCGGCGCTCGGCGTTGAGGGTCCAAAACAAGGACTGGTCAGCTCGGAGGCAGTGCACTGTGTTTGAGATGTATGGTGGCCGAGAGGGGACATCGCTTTCTCGCAAGACGAGAAAGCGATAACACGAGACGAGAAAGCGATAACGCGAGACGAGAAAGGGATATCGCGAGACGAGAAAGCGATAATCCGAAACGAGAAAGCGATAACGCGAGACGAAAAAGCGATATGAGGTATAATATATGAATATCGCTTTCTCGTCTCGTGTTATCGCTTTCTCGTCTCGTGCTATCGCTTTCTCATCTCGTGTTATCGCGGCCGTAATTGAAGGCGAGAAAGCGATGTCCCTTCTAGGCCACCAAAGAGATGGGTATCCACGTTAAACCGAGGCATGGTATCTCAGTGGGCTAGTACCATAACATCGACATAAGACCGGACTAGTCGTCCTCCCAGTATTTGAAAATTAATGAGATTATTATTATATGGTCGAGACAAACTTTTCATCTACGAGGGCTGGCTGAAGAGTCACCTTTCTGATCCGCTGTCAAGAGCTTTGGCACCCATCTTGCAGAAACATTTGTCATTCCCAACTAGTTGGTGATAATGTGCTCAACCCTCTCATGAGAGACGCCCACAACACTGGCAATATGTTTAGTGGTCAATCGTCGATCAGCCATCACCATGTCATGCACCCGGGTAATGTTTTCCGGAATGGTTGCTGTTGAAGGCCTTCCTGGACGCGGGTCATCGTCAAGGCTCTCTCTGCCACGTTTGAATTCCGCAGCCCACTTCTTTACAGTGGAAAAGGAAGGGGCATCATCCCCTAAAGTGGAGACCATGTCAGCATGTATCTGTGTTGGAGTTAGCCCTTTCAGTTGCAGGTACTTGATGACTGCCCTATACCCAGTTTTGTCCATTTCTGGTGATTTCAATGGGTAGGTTCACAAGATGGTCCGGTACAAAGACAATGATAACACTACAGTTTCAGTTCTTATGTCTATGTTTCATTAAATGATTGTACTTGATGGCGGCAAAAGTTTGTTTCAATCCGATTGAGATATCCCACTTAGGCTTGGAACTTTTCAGCTAGCCCTCGTAAGACGGAATAAAGATAAATCAATGAAGTTTCATCTCATTTGTAACTCGTCAGTGCACAGTGGGCATGCTACATTATCTCCACGAGTGAGTTCACCCCCGTGTGTAGCCCTCGAGTCTCACACAATCAGTAGTTGATAATGCCCAACCCACGCAATGCCGTCCGGTGAATTTAATCACAATTGTATGTAGATATGCACGGCCCTACGACTCGCCTGGCACCATGAGGACAACGGCCCCAGCATTCATGCTGTCATCAAAGACGATTAAAACAAATATCAGATGACAGGTCGAAAGATGCTTGGATGGACAGACCTAATACTCATATACAACCTGGGAATACTGTTTTACTGTAATCAATACACACAACGTGAATACGAGTGTTATAAACAGGTCTGCAAATGTGTCTATGTGTGTCTGGAAGCAGCAAAGTCGTAAAAGCTTTGATAATTTTATACTAGGTAGTCCCTAATGAGGCAAGGGTGGCTAGTGGTCAAAGCGGTCACAGTGTTGTCTTGTAACATGGAGGGGCTGTGGTCAGCTCTTTGGTTAAAGCGTTCGCTCGTCACGCCGTAGGACCGGGTTCGTTCCCCACATTGGCACAATGTGTGAAGCCCATTTTTGGTGACACCCGCCGTGATATTGCTGGAGTTTATTTTAAAACAAACTCATTCACTAGCTGTAGAGATCAGCGTGTCTTGGGTTCGAATCCAAGATTCGCCCCGATTATGATCCTCGGTTTGTCATCACAACCGTACCAGGATTCGCCAAATTATTGTGTTCGTGTTTTTCAGATTAACAGCGATACAGGTCCCAAGTTAAAGGACTTAATATTATTCTCATCATCGGGTAGATATGTCACGTTATACCGAGGTATGTGTGTTATAGCGAGGTACTCACCGGTATACATGACATCCAGTAACCTCCGATCTCCGGGCGGAACCGAAGTAGCGCGCGAAGGACAATCACCGACCCCACACCTGAAACAAGGATTAACCAAACCTCAAAACAACAGTAAATCCGAAACACACTGGAGGTGGTATCACATGTATATGAGAATATTAATGAAAATCTATTGGCTTAATATTTGTTTCTTTAGTAATGTAGGGTGGTGGGGTAGCTTAGTGGTTAAAGGGCTTGCTCGTCACGACGTAAACCCTGGTTCGATTCACCACAAGGGTTGCCTGGCCCAAGCTCTATAATTTACAGGACGCCAATCAGTCATTTTTTTCGTGGACAATTTCTGCAATTTCATATGATGGTGCTGCTGCTGCTTCTGATTGATGATGATGATGATGATGATGATGATGATGTATTATCCGTGAATAATATATCTCAAAATAATCTCATCACCCGAACCACCTGTCCTGAACCCCTTTTCGTATACAACCTCGTTATAACACCAGCACAGTGAATGTTCAATTTACACTGATAGTTTCTTAATGACGAGCTATATAAGACGTATTTATACGTTTGTTATACATCTGACCAAAAGTACTAATTATATCATATCATACATATACACTGATATAACGTCTACAAAAAGTCAGGATTCCTACGCCAACCACCACCAACCAATCCCCCGGAGATGGCCAGTGTGTAACATGCACCAGCTCGGTGAAGCTCGGTAAAACACAGCCACACACCAGCCACCGAGTGCTGCACTCACTACATGCCGTAATTCAATCCCCCTCCAAACAATAGAAGAATCAATAAATAAAAACAATAATTTAATCTAAACCTCATAACCAATATATCATTGAGGAACATCGTCAAACGCTCTCCTCAAACCCAACCCCTGGGGTATAGGAGCGCGGGCACATTGTTGAATATAACGGTATCAGGAACGTTGCCTAGGCAATGGTAACCATCCCTGCTGACTGGCATCATCAGATGATGAATGGAAACTGTGCAACAAGCGGAGTAGTGCACACTCAGCAACATGTCTGCTACAATAACACAGAAAACTCTTCTCGGTGCATGCCCAATTATTCATGTAAAACATTGCCGAGAAACCTTTTTGTTTTCTTTGTCTTATCCGCACATGTTGTAGCATATTGAGTTCTTCTTCACACTCAGTTCTACAACTTTATCTGCCAGGTATCGTTTTGCCGTCCGTGCAATTGTCTATTATTTTTATTACTATTTTTGTTTATCAGTCTAAATATTTAAGTCCATTATTGTATTTCACGGCTCCACCTCACACAAGATGGTGAAAATGTCACGTGTCAACTTCAGATGTGCATATGTTGTTTTCAAATATGTTACACCAACCCTGTACCACCATGGATAATCATGACCGACTTGTACCCATGGAGATTATAAACGTATATCCTCATCAACCGTTATCTCTTGGTCTATGACGCGACCCAAACTCAGATGAGACCGCCTCCGTGGTCCAGCTATATGACGGTGGTCTGTAAATAATAGAGTCTGGACCAGACAATCCAGTGATTGACATCCTGAGCATCGATCCACGCAATTGGGGTACGATGACATGCATCAACTATGTCAGCGAGCCTGACCACCCGATCGCGTTAGTCGCTTCTTACGGCAAGCATAATCGCCTTTTACAGCTTTTATTCCAACCCGGATCTTAACGGCTGCTGATAATTGGTAGCCGTAGACGATTATAAACCTACATTATTATCAAAGGTTATCTCTTATTCTATAAGCCTACCCAAACTCAAATGACAGTGTGAATGAATTCCTTCTTAAAGTTGAACATAAATATATTCTGTTGCCTAAAAAATTCAACATGTTCATTTTTTGTTTTCAAATCTGTTTGTTCTAAATAAACAATTGCATGTAGTGAGCTATCCGCCTGATCCTACTTTCATAAAGAAAAGGATCAACCGAGCCTTTTTTCAATCCTATTGATTGCCTTCAGACAAAAAAATTGTTGAATAAATGAATTTTGTTTGTTTTATTAATATGTCAAGTATATTTAGATATACGAATCAAATACCTGCCTAACTATTATACGTATCCACCACAAGGTAAATTTGTACAGTTAATGAACACCAAAATAGCCACATTCTTCTTGCAGTTTTTGTTTATAAGATATTTGAAAGAAGGATGATACATTGAATATTAATAACACTATGTACATCTATTCAGCTACAATCTAATCAGTATACAAGTAGTGCTCCACGACGAATTTTCCTACAACAAAATGTCATTGTACTATTGGCCTACCATACGAATAAATATCTATCTGTCTGTCTATAAACAGCATTATCTGTATGTTGTACTCCCCCAGGCCATCACAAGCCAGGTAAAAGTCAACCAAATACACTTCACGTGCCGATACGTACTTATCCAGCACCATCACCACTGCTCCGAGCGTGCAGTCTTCTCCAGACAGGAACTATTTAGTCCCTGCCTTCGACACGCTCAAACACAAAACAGATCAGTGTTTTCTTTCCACCTATCTGTCTTCATCTACCAATTGTCTGTCCTGGAATTAGGTCGGTGCAATGGGGGCCCAGCATCCTGGGATGAATATAAACACCTTGTGTTGTGGATCCGAGGTAGCCCCGTTGGATGTGGACATAAGTCTCGCCGTACACAAGGGTCTGTCGTAAGCAACACTGTTTTAACTGTACTCTTAGGCCTTTTTTTAATTAGATATTTAAGGTTTTCTCTCTCAAAAGCTTTGGACTTTTTGGTCGGTGGTCGAAAAAAACTGAAATTTATCTCTTCAAATTTTTTTGTTTTTTTTGTTTTTTGTTTGGTAAGAATATAGGGATAGTAGGGTGAGATTTCATTTTTTCAAATTGTTTAATTTCCTTTTTTCTGTGATATATATGACATGGATGGTAAACTTTGTACAATGTATCAAGTTTACAGGAGAACAAAAATACATCGGCGAGTATCGTTGAAGGGATATCGTACTGTTACAGCACGATATATTTTTTTCAAAATCTCAATCCTTAGATAAATTTTATATCGTTATAAATCATCTGTTAGAGCACAAATTAGAAAATAACCAACACGCTTCTGTGAAGTGCGGAGTATCTGCCTCGAATGAATGAATGGTCAACACACCAGCACATTATCAGCAATCCCGAGAAGGTTATATTAAGTTACCGAGTTTTAATGTGTAACTTCATCAATGAATGACGTCATCGTATTCGAAAACAATGCAGCAATGTGACGTCATATAGGATTCACTGACCAATGACATACGATATTTGTCAAAAGATACATCTGCAGGTATTGGATAGTTAGTACAATCGACATACTTGTACTTGTGTGATAAATACAATCCTCCCTTCCCTCGAACTTTCAGACTCCATGTCAAACAACAAGTGTATTTAAACTGACCTAATAATTTCTGTTTCAGTCTGAGAATATACTTTTCATTTCAAACAGTCAAAAACAACAACCATCAATCCTGGAGTAAAACAGCAGCGCATTTCTACACTCGATCAGGGCGTTTCCAGACGCCCACAATGTCATTGCCAAAGCTCTGGAGCATGGCCGAGCCCCGAGGCATGAAACGTATCAGTACATATCGCTGTGAGGAGCACAATGGCGACATGTCCTGTTTGACCTTGCCTGACATAATGACCTTCCTCGCGGGTCATTGTTCGGGGAAAGATTTATTACATGTATGTAAAACACGTGGTCACGTGACATTGGACGCCTCCACACAGATAGTATATCACAGGTGTAGGTACATTTATTGATGGTGGTAGTTTGAGAGGTACCCCGAAGACTTTTAATGGCCATAGTCTCTAACTAAATGATAAAACAATCGCTCCGATATTGTTTTCTGTTATTTAATACAAACATAGACTTTGAACAGTATACCACGGCCTGTCAGTTTAATGTTTGAGGTGAGAAAAACATTGTAACTGGAACAATCGTCTTTTCTGGTCAAATAACATCACGGGATGAGGTAAAAAAAATTATTTGACTAGTAAAATACAAATTTCCTCTACTTATGTCATGGGTCAGAAAACACATAGACTCTTCCTACATAAACTGCCGGGCAAAAGAAAGTAGGTATAAATAAATCGAATAAAAAAAGTAGCAAGAAATTATTATTTGATGGCGGTGTCATACGGGTATCACACAAGTTTACAGTGGTTCGGCGACTGTTTTCAGACAAGTAACGTTGTGATAACGTTTGTAATTTTTTTCTCAAATCTAATTTTCAAGTGTATACCTTCTTTTGCCCGACAATTTAGATAGGTTTCTTTTCTATTTCTATTGAAGTTCCTGATACACTGTAGCCATTTCCTTCACCAACGCGGATATCATGCGCCGACATGAGGAACTAGTCTGACCAACATGAAGACTCCATCACATCACTCAGTTGCCATCCATTATGCAGTCCATCATCTGCGACATTGCAGCTCAATAACGAAACACGACCATGTTGCTGAGCGTTATCAAATTTATCGGTTGACCATCAATATGACTTGATCAGTATAGATTGCGTGACCCAGATACAAGTCCATACCCAATGATCTCACCATATAAATTCTTGCGCCAGTGCAAACTAGTGTGACGTAAAGAAAGAGATAGTATGTTCACAACATTGCGTCTATGCCTGTCCTTATCGTTTAGCCTACAGGGCAAGAAGCCGTGTCGATAAGATAATATCAGAGTGGATGGAACTCTATTTACTATCAATCCGGGGCTTCTGTTCCTCAAAGCGATCTTTGGGCTAAGACGGTCGTATCTCCCATACTCTAAGATACACTTACGACAATCACAGCGCCAAGATCCCACTGTGGAACGGGCCCACAATATAAATATCTTGACAGAAAATGTCAAGACAGACATCGAGAGAACCTCGTCCACGGGGCTTTAGTGTGTTCTCAATGATGGCCTAAATCGGAACACACCAAACGACACTGGTCGATAGGAATTTTAAAAAGGTTACCCGCGCATCTATCATATTTAGAAGGAAAGGGAGTTAAAGGCCTATTTTGTTAATGACTTTAATATTTGACTTATTTACCTT